TATGATGCCATGGCACTCTACCAAGGGTAACAAAGTAAGACTTTGTCTCAAAAAAAAAAAAAAAAGATAAAATGTTCTGTTGTATGCTTTAGCCACAAAAAAGGGAATGAAGCCAAATTTAAAAAAAAAATATGTTAAATGAAAGAAACTTGAATACATTTATATAAAGTGTCAAGAAAAGGAAAAAAAATAATGAAATTAAAGCAGATTAATGGTCACTAGGGAGTAGCTATGTTTGTATTGGCTGCAAGCAGGCATGGGGGAACTTAATGAATTGGTATAAATGTGATAAAACTGAAGTACAGTTTGATGTTTACACAGTGTAAGTTTGCTAAGAATCACTGAATCAAATATAATGGGTAAATTTTGTGGTATGTAAATTATACCTCAATAAACTTGTAGAAAAATGTAAATAGCAAGGAAAATAGGAAAAGTTTGGCAAAATATTGATGATTTTTCAAGCTGGATGATCGGTTAAAACATTTATGATACTATTTCTTCTATTTCTGTGACTGTTTGAATTTTTTCATGATATCCATACTTGATCTTAGCCCAAAGGCCAAGAAGTGATTTTTTCATGATACCCAATGTTTAAAAAGAAAGTTAAGAAACGTGAAGACTAGTAGTTAGTTTATGCACTAACCACTGGGTAATTGCATTCCCAGAAAAAGCAAATCATAAAAATATAGAAAAGGGATTATTTGAAAAAAATAATAGGGATATGTTTCTCAGAATTAAAGAAAACTATGTCTCATTTTGAAAGTGTCAAAGATGAGAAATAAATAACAACTCACACCTAAACACATTCATTATACTGAAATCTAAGAACATGAAAAACAAGATAAAAAAATTTAATCCCTAGATACAAATTCTATTCCATACAAATAAACAAGGGTAAAACTAATATCGGAGTTTTTCCTAGCAACTCTATGTACAAGATGAAAAAGTAGTACTATTTTCAAAGTGTTGAAGAACAGTTTGAACATAGAATTTTATTACCATTTGAAGAGAGGGCAAGGCTTTCAGTGCTTGCCACACAAAAACCCACATTGAAAATAGTTTTGGGTGAAATGCTTAAGAAGAAAAAGAAAGAATCCAGGAACTGTCACAAGGTTAAAAGTAAAGATTATTACATAAAGTTGTCATCTTAGTAAATATAAACCTAAGATCAAAGAAGTGAAAACGGGGACGTATACACAATAATTCAGACTTTAAATTCTGTTAAAAATCATACTTGAGGGAGGCACCTAAGGCTCAAGGAGTAGGGAGCCGGCCCCATATACCGGAGGTGCTGGGTTCAAACCCGGCCCTGACCAAAAATTGCACAAAAAAAAAAAAAAAAAAAAAAAAGTCATACTTGACATGTTCTCTTATCTCAGCACAATTATGTTAGGCATTAATAACATGAGTATAAGTTAAAAATACCCCCCAACATTTGCAAATTGAAAACATACTACCAAGTAAATATTGGTTTAAGCACAAATCATAATGAACATATAAAAATCCTAGAACTACATGAAAATAAAAATAATACAAAAAACTTACCCATGATGCAGTCTTACTTCAAGGGAAATTGTATAGCTTTGAATATTTATATATGACAGGAGAAAGTATCAAAAACTATTCCTTTTGAATTTAACTTTTAGTTAGGAGAATAGCATACTAAAGTTGAAGTTAAAGGTGCAATTAAAAACAAAAGTCAACTGGAGTTAGGTGATATCTCAAAGTAGTTTTGATTTGCATTTCTCTAATGATTAAGGATGGTGAGCATTTTTTCATATATCTATAGGCCACCCGCCTATCTTCTTTGGTGAAATTTCTCTTCAGGTCCTTTGCCCACCCTGCGATGGGATCACTTATTTTTTTTTGCTAATGAGTTTGAGTTCTCTATGGATTCTGGTTATTAAACCTTTGTCAGAGACATAGCCTGCAAATATTTTCTCCCACTCTGAGGGCTGTCTGCATGCTTTACTTACTGTGTTCTTGGTTGTGCAGAAGCTCTTTAGTTTGATCAGGTCCCAATAGTGTATTTTTGATGTTGCTTCAATTGCCTGGGGGGGGGTCTATCTCATAAAAAATTCGCCCAGGCCGATTTCTTCAAGTGTTTTCCCTGCACTTTCTTCTAGTATTTTTATGGTTTCACGTCTTAAGTTTAAGTCCTTAATCCAGTGAGAATCTATCTTAGTTAATGGTGAAAGGTGTGGATCCAGTTTCAAGTCTTCTACAGGTCGCCAGCCAGTTTGCCCAGCACCATTTGTTAAATAGGGAATCTTTTCCCCGGTCAATGTTTTTAATTGGTTTGTCAAAGATGAGGTAACGGTAGGTAGCTGGATTCATCTGTTGGCTTTCTCCTTCATGTTTACATGGATGGAACTAGAAAATGTTCTTCTTAGCAAAGTATCACAGGAATGTAAGAAAAAGTATCCAATGTACACAGCCCTTTTATGAAACTAATTTCTAGCTCTCAAATGAAAGATACAACTTAATCATAGCCTAAGAATATGGGGAGGGGGTGGGGAAGGGGAGGGGAGAAGGGCGGCTGGGTGGTGGGAGGGTGACCGGAAAGATCACCTATATATCTGTCTAACAAGGGTACAAGTGAACTTTTCTAGAACTAGAATATAAATGTTTTGACACAATGACTATGCAAATGACATGAAATTTATGTGAACCAGCTTGATGAAAGTATTTCAAAATGTATATGAAAACACTACACTGTGCCCCATGTTTGCATTAATGTATACAGCTATCATTTAATGAAAAAAAAGAAAGAAAATAATCCCATAAGATTCTGTTGAGGGAAAAAAAAAGTCAACTATAAACAAAGATAAAATAGAGAACAACAAAACAAATGTTGGTTGTTGAAGAAAAACCAACAAAACAGATAATCTTTGAGAAAATTACCAAGGAAAAAGACAGGGAAAAAAATAAATAATATTATGAATTAAAAATGGAACAGGATGTGCTTGTACAGATAAAATAGATTTAAAAGTTAATATCAACAATTATAAGTGAAAAACTTTGGAAACAGAGATGAAATGAACAGATTTCTAGAAAACTATAATTAGCCAAAACTGGTTTAAGAAGAAATTTTTTTTTTTTTTTTTTTTTTGCAGTTTTTGGCTGGGGCCAGGTATGAACCTGCCACCTCTGGTATATGGGACCAGCGCCCTACTCCTTTGAGCCACAGGCGCTGCACAAGAAGAAATTTTTTAAAACCTGATTTTATTTTGACATGATGAATTAAATAAAAACAGAAAGTACAAAGAAAAATTGAGACACACATGACTTCACTGGCAAGCTCTATGAAACTTTTAAAGATATTATTATTGTAAATATTATGCATGTGCAAACTTTTTATTATGATAAAATATATGTAACAAACAAATTACCATTTTCTTTATTTTTAACTGTACAGTTCTGTGGCATAAATTACACTTGTAGTGTTGCATTAACACTACCATCACCATCATCCTTCCCCAGAACTTTTTTCAACTTCCTCAACAAAAATTGTGTACCTATTAAACACAAATTTGTTATCTTTTGGTTTTTGATACTAGCCATTCTAATAGATGTATAGTGATATCTCATTATAGCTTTAATTTGCATTTTCCTTATGATGTCAAGCATTTTTTTCCAATGCCTATTGGCCAGTTGTTTATCTTTTTTTTTTGCATAGATATCTATTCAGTTCCTTTGCCCATTTTTGATCAGGTTATTTGGGGGGTTTGCTATTAAAAGCAAAGCACAGAACTATATATAACAATACTGATTTTTAAAACAGTAGTTGAAAGATATTCTCATGAATGCCTACTCAAATTTGTGTGTGGTTGTTTTATAATATATGATTTTTCACATAAACAAGGAGAAAAATATGAAATATAATATGGAGGGTTCCAAAACAATGTATACAAATTTCACGACTGGAAAAAAACTGTATTAAAATTGTAATGTTCAAATATTGACTTCTGCAAATATAAGAGATACAAAATGCAATATACAAGATAACAAATTTCATCAGTATACATTGAGTATTACAATTTTAATACAATTTTTTCCTTTCTTAAAATGCCTATTCATTTTTTGGCACCCTCTCTATGTAGAGCAGATGGTAAGTATTAGTTTCACCTGGGGGTGAGAGACGGGGAAGGGAGGGGAGAAGCAAAAAATTATTCATAATTAAAAACAGTATGCATTATATAATCCACTTATGTATAGAAATGTGTTTGTGTTCTATATATACAATACATATACCATCAAAAATATTGAAATTTGGTCATTATTGTGTTAATGGGAGAGCTAAGTATTTAATTTATATTTATACATATTGCTTAAAATTTTTTTCTCATAAAAATATGTCACTTAATAACCAAAAATAAAAGGAGATTTTATCATAAATGTGAAAAGGAAGTTTGGATGAAAGTCCAGTTTCCTGTTTATACTATTGGAGAAATTTTTGAGACATATTTTGCCATCTTGGCAATGTGTATGTGTGCATGTATACACACAAAAAACTTTAAAAAATAATTTAAAATAAGTACATTACCAACATATGCCCCTTTGAGGTCAAGGAGGTAGGAATTAAACCCTGGTCTGTATGATTCCAAATTTAGTGTCCTTTCCCTAAAGCAAGCACCATACATTAAGAAGACCTCATTCTCCATCCACCTTCACTCTTCTGAAGGTATAATTAAGATGGACTGGAGCAGAAAAGAGAGAAACCTAGGAATGGAGTAATTTCTTAATATTTTAATTGCATTCTCAGATGTTTATGAAAGAAAATGGTTTTTCAAATGAAAAGTCCATCTAGGAAGGAAATAAACCAAATCTGGGCAGTGCCTGTGTTTCAAAAGAGTAGGGCATTGGCCCCCTATACCAGAGGTGGTGGGTTCAAACCCAGCCCTGGCCCCCCCCAAAAAAAACTGCAAAAAAAAAAAAAGAAAGAAAAGAAAAGAAAGAAATTAAAAAACCAAATCACTGATTTTTCCTTCCTTTCTTAGGACTCCTTGGAAGAAGCTGAAAAAGGTGTTGATGCCTTAGTGTCCTCTCGGTTTTCCGCGAACACCCACAGTCTGGCAAATGGCCTGTCAACCGTAAGCAGTTCTCTACCATGGGCAGAAAATAAAATTCCTTCTTTTGCTTGTTGATTTTCTGTGCATTTCCAAAGGAGAGATGAATGTTCTCGGGCAAATGTGTGGTAATAAGTTAAAAGTTATTGTAGGCTCCTGCTTGCACTTTGTCCACTGAATGCTTTTCAAGTCTCATTTTGTGTGGGCTTTTTCTAAGGCTTCTGATTTCTTCTTTCTCCTTCCACAGTCCTCACCCAGGTTTTAAACTCTTCCGCTCCCCTCCTTTCCCCTCCCCTCCCTAGTTCAGGTTCAGTCAGCTGAAGCCTGTGAATGATTTTACTTCTCTGCTGACGAATTTCCCTGACACCATTCTCTTAACTGCCCAGCTGTCCCCCACGCCACTACCAGTCATTTTCCTAAAACACATACACAGATCTCTCCCACTCAGAGATCATCTATAGCTTACTACTGCCTACAAAATAAAACTCCTTCTTACTTTAGTGTTCAAGGCCCTTTTTGAGAGGAAGACTTTAGGAGCCCCTGTATCCTTATATCTATCTACATATGTCTGTAAGTCTTTTCCTTGGTTTCTCTGATTTCTGTTGCTCTAATATTCTTTTTCTTTTGGTCTTTGGATGACCTCTTTAAAGAATTCTCAAGCAGGCTCTGACAGGAAGTGGACCTACCTAAATGTGCCAGATGCTGACTCAGACACTGTGAGTTTTCAACCTTTCCTTTTCTTTCTTTCCAACCATACTTGATAAATTTCATGGTCTGGAAAACATGCATAGGTGGGAAATTCTTCCCACACTTATCTTTTTCTCAACTAGTGTACAATTGACCAGAAGTTCTCTTTTAAAATATTAATGCAGTTATCAGAGCCCAAGTATTCTGATTTAAATATTAGAGTCTGAGTGCCAGTCAAAAGATACATGGGATTACCATTAATAAGACTTACCCCTAACAAGACCTTTGGATAAATATCTCCATTTTAAATCATAGCCTTGGTTTGGGTAAGAGTATAAAGTTTGGTTAGTAGTAAAATTTCCACAACTTCCTTAATTTCTCGCAAGTTTCAGCATCTGTGTCTTCTTAAAATTCCTTCTATTAGTAGGGGCCTTCTGTTTACAAAGGATCCTCTTTGATGATGTGGCTACAGAGGAGATGCAGTGTAGACCTAAGTCAGTGATATAAAGAGGTAGTGAGGTATGGTATGAAGGTCCTCAAACTAGAAACCTGGACATCTTGCTTTATGTCTTGAAACAGGCAAAAATTTGTATGAGTCAGAGTTTCCCCATACATGAAGAGATTGGGGTTTATGCTTAAAGCCTTTGATCCTCAAAGCATGGTCCATGGACTAGCAGCATTGCATTATCTGGAACTCCCAAACTTTCATAGTTCATAAAGCCCTTGGTGTTTCAGAAATTCTGTCATGGCACTTCTAGGCCAAAAGTAATATCTGACAATGCTTTGAATATCAAAGGCTTTAAGAATAGATCAAAAGGCTTGGCGCCTATAGCTCAACCGGCTAAGGCGCCAGCCACGTACACCTAAGGTGGCGGGTTCGAATCCCCAGCCCGGACCCGCCATTGTTGTTTGGCGGGTCTGGGCTGGATTCGAACCCGCCACCTTAGGTGTATGTGGCTGGCGCCCTAGCCGCCTGAGCCACAGGCGCCGAGCCGACCTCATCTTAAAAAAAAGAAAAAAGGGCTCGGCGCCTATAGCTCAGCCGGCTAAGGCGCCAGCCACGTACACCTAAGGTGGCAGGTTCGAATCCCCAGCCTGGGCCCGCCAAACAACAATGATGGCTGCAACCAAAAAATGGCCAGGCGTTGTGGC